TAAGTGTGTGTGTGTGTGTGTGTGTGTGTGTGTGTGTGTATGTGTGTGTGTGTGTATTTGGTGTATGTGCATCTGTATGTATGTATGTCTATGATCTCGTGTTTTGTAAGACTGTCTGTGTGTCTTAGCTTGTGCATGAATGCATATGTACGAGTATGTCTGTGTTTATGTAGCCTAATGCATGTGCGTATATGTGTGTGTGTTTGTGTGGCAGGAAGACTCGAAGACTATCTCCTTAATGATTTGAACTGTGTCAATGGGAATTTAAAGCACGCACATTTTTTTTTAAAGTTTGGTTTCTTAACGGGAAAGATATTAACATAGCTCAGTGTTTCACCATTAGGCCATGGTTAAAATTTAGGGCCTTCTCCTCTCAGTTGGGATGTATCCTTCAAAAAGCCCAGTTGGGCTGATTCAACAATATAATGCTCATACCAGTGTCTTAACTACAACAGGGAACTGCTGCTTTTTCTTTCCTTATCCTTATTTTCGTCAATTTCCTCTACTTTTTTGTATGTTTGTCACACTCTTGTGACCCGCTATTTCCGGGGTGCCTTGAAAATCAAAACAGACATTGTGCGGTTGAAGCTAGAGAGGTGAGCAGAGTAAGCCCGATTCCCTGTAAAGACATCTCTGTTGACATCACCCCTTGGCGCTCAAATGACCTTTTCCAGTTGCGAGCGCCGTAAATCTCTAGATTCTACTACTTGTAAATTTAAAAAAAAATAAAACATGCCCAGTTGGCTCTGAAACATACATATGTGAGACAGCGTGGTGGAATCAGTCTGTCGTCAATTTTTGGGCATGTAGAGTTATTGGTATCATCTTAAATCTTGTTCACTTGCCTTTATTGGATGAAAAAAATTATCCAATTATCTTGAATACAAGTCGAGATATTTACGAAAAAAGGAGGTGGGGGTCACCTGTTTTCAGAGTTAAAATTAATGAGAAAATGGCCACCAAAGATTAGTTATTTCCTTAGCTTAAGAGTCCGTGGTAACTGAAAATTTACATTTTTTGTGCCTTTAGAAAACGTTTTTCAAAAACATCCACACAGAAATGAATTCTTTAAGGGTCATGAAAGGTGTTGAGCCAAAAAAACACAAATTTGATAAAAAATTTACAAACCTACGGATAATAGCTAGTTTCTTCACATTTATTATTTTGACGAGAGCCTGATTCCACCACGCTGCCTCACATATTATGAATAAGGTAGTTCTCCTCCCATTCAATCCAAATTGTTGGAAAAAGGAGTAAAAGATTGACACTCGTTCGCATTACGTCAAAATGGTGTTTCTTTTGTGGCGGCTTTATCATGGTTTGCATGATTTTTCGTGTGTGTGGGTCTATGTATTTAAGTGTGTGTGTGTGTGTGTGTGTGTGTGTGTGTGTGTGTGTGTGTGTGTGTG